TACACCAATATTCATGACTTACTAACCATTTCTTAAGGAACACCATCTTTCACCTATTTATGCTCAAAACAGATATGAAACCACTCTTTTAAAGGTTTTATGTGAAAACAAACCAATTGTAATTATACTACCTACTGTGACCAAATTGAAGAAGGTTTTGGATATTATTGAGGGTTTTTTGTTGGTTATTTGTGTTGTGTGTTTTCTTGTACAATACCGTATCTTTTGAAAGGAAAATGCTTCAGAGGCATTTATTTACAGGAGCTGACTCAGATTGATTGAAGGAGGTATGCACAAACAAATTCTAACTGCAGATGATTATGATCATAATTAATATTAAAAACAAGCCAGAATACATACCATGTATAGAAAATGGCTTACCATTGTACTTAGAGCAATATAACCAGTATATTTCAGACTGTGCTTATTCAAAGGTGCCCGAATGGTACTTACATGACTTTTTTTTAAGTATACAACATCTGTAAACCTTCAAGTAGGGAAGCTTAAAAAAGTGAAAGAAAATGGCATTCAGCTCTCCACTGCAGCCACAAATTCAGAAGGTCAGGAAATATCTGAAAAGTGGGCTTTTGGCCATTGTCAACCTCTGTTAAGTTTTATGTTTATTTTTTACCTTAAATTGGCATGTTTTTGTGTTTTAATAATATATTAATTAGAACTATTTCCTTATTTTAAAATTATTTTTATTTAAAATCATAAGCCTGTGCATTTATATGATTTTTCATTTTCAATCTTTATAAAATGGAGACTTATTGTTAATAGAGGAAAAATTGATAATAAAATCTGCATCCATGTTACAAAGAATTTTCTTCTGGAAAAAGTGTCATGTGTTTAAATTGTGGCAGCAACACACATGTATGAGCAGGGAGCCTGAGACAGGCACAGCCCCAGCTGGCCATTCTCTCTTCTGGTTTTCTCCAGTGAACTGCCCAAGCAAGAAGTAACTGCTTCTTTAGATGTTCTTGGCCTCTCCCCACACCTAAATCTGGGCTCTAGCTACAGCCAGAAAAATATTTATAGAGGAAGGCCATGTCACCATCTGTTTTCAATCATTCTCATGGAGCACCTCCACCCACAAAGTGAGGTCCTTTGTACCAGGGTCACAAACAAAGGCTCTCCAGGATTTGGTCCTCACTACCCATCTTACGTGGGAATAGGTCCAGATGAAATGTCAGAAAACAGAAAACCAGTGGCAAAGACAAAGATAAAGATCTGTTTCCTCCCACCTAAACAAGATCCAGGGATGAACTGGTCCTCCACTGTGGTCTGGTCCTTTACCCTGTGCTGCTCCAATTACTACTTCTGCCTCATGTACCAGATCACTCACTGCTTAGCCAGCCTTCAGCTCTGCATTCCAGCCAGGGAAAGGGATATTAAGGGTATGTCCTTCATGTCAGAGACACTTTCCAGAAATTGCACATGCCATTTCAGATTGTATTTCATTAGTCAGAAGTAGTCACCTATGCATATCTAGGGAGACTGGGAAATAAAGTCATTATTCTGGGATTATTTTATACTCTTCAATCAGGGAATCCATTCTTTCTCTTTAGTTGTCTATTATAACCTGGCATGGGTAGGTCTCATGGAGGGAAACCAAAGAAGCCACTTGACCCTGAAAAAATTCACGGAGATTTCTTCTTTCTGATGTCACCCCAAACCAGAACCCTGTTCTCCTGGATGGGGTTCCCCACATTGTTCTTTCTAAAGCTAGTCATTGTTCTTTTCTAAAGCTGCCAGTCCTCACTGAGAGAGAGAGTGGAGCCCTCCATGTGGCTCTTCTCTCTGCATAGAAAGAAAATCAAGAACAGCAGATCTAAATAAAGACATGCACAGAAATCAAAATGAAATAAGGAGTTGCCAGCTTTGCAACACTGTTTTTCTGCTGTCAGCATCTTCTAATATGTGGTCTGTTTTTTCCTTGGTCTAATAAATTACCTACCTTGAGAATTTCCTTTACCTTGCTGCATTATTCTTGCTTTGGTCATCATTTTTACAGGTGTGGCAAGTCCGTGAAAACCAGGTACGTCTTGCCTTGCCTGGTTGGCATGGCTCAGTGGTGGAGCTTCAATCTAGGAGGTTAGGGTTTAATTCCCAGTCAGGGCTTGATCCCTAGTGTGGGACATGCAGGAGGTGTCTGATAGATGTTTCTCTCTCATCATTGATGTTTCGTCTTTCCCTCTCACACTCAGAGCTCATCTCAGGATATCCAATATACTCAAAGAATTTTCCAATCCCAAAATCAGGACATGTTGTCTGATAGCAAAATTAAACTTAGGAGAACAACAAAACATCATTTTAAAGTCATGGTAGACACCCCCCCAAAAAAAAGAGAGGATCATCATAGAAACTGTTATGAAGGCACATTCACCTACAGTCCCCGCCCACACTCAAAGGGGAAAGTATGAAAAGAAATTTCCTTTTCTATTTTCAGAAATCTCTTACAGCCACTTAAAATCTAATTCAAGGGCTAGCAGCTTCCTTATCCAAGAATGCAGACGATAATAAGAATTTTTTTTTTTTTGTATCTTTTTCATGATGAGATGGTGTCTCTCTGAGCACTTCACAAGCTCTTTGGCCCGTAGGGACTGCAGTGTGCATGCTCAGGTCTGCAACAGCAAACCCTGGACTCTGCACAGGAGAGATACACAGTTACACCACAGGCTGGAGCAAATGAGGTCCATGGATGCCACTTACATTCATTGGGAAGGGAAGGGGAAGAATTGGCAGGAAAAAGTATGCTGGGAAGGAAGTTTAAGAGTAAGACCTCACTTTGCAGGTAGAGATGCTTCTCCTTCTCTCATTCTTCATTGTCCTCTTCCATGTGTAATCATAAGGCTTTCTATCTGACTCTAATCCTATTAGATTGTTATTTGTGCTTTTTTAAAATATTTAAAACCATATTTAAAAGGCAAAAATGTCCTCAACAGGACTTGTTTCATATAGACTTCCTCATACAATGGATTTTTTCATCTAAATTAGTTTATGCCACAGTTTTGCTAAAATCATGTATTTAACCTTCTGATATTCCTTTTTCCACACATATTCTTGGAGTTATAATATAATACAAAGCAGTTCCAAAGTATTTTATACTTAAGTTTCCTTTTTCATGAGTCTCTCCTCAGTGGGCAAGTTTTAATTTACAGGCTCTTCCTAATCCATGGGTATTATCTATAATAATAAAAGGGGTAATGTGCTAATTAGACCAGACATCATTTGGGACATCCTTCCTGACAAAGCCAGGTCTGGAGGAAAGCCCAGGTCCCGGATGCCAGAGGGAAGCTGGTGCTGGCAGCTGGAGGATGGAAGGCGTACTCTTGCATGAATTTTGTGCACCGGGCCTCTAGTGAGTCCTGATTTTCCTTTTCAGAGTCAACTTCTTTCTCTCATTCAAACAGATTGTCCTCTATTTGGCAATCATATAAACAGGAGACCAGGCAAAACCTTCAAATTTTTACTCTAAGGCAGTTGGAACTTACCGAGGTGGGATAGTCTTTGCTGGGTTGTGAAGAGTTGGGGAGTGGCACAAAGACCATTCACCTGCCTTACTCTGAAAACCACTGGTTTGTGGAATGCTTGTGAAATGGTCCCTTCCTTCCTTGGCTTGGCCCTTCCCTTATAATACAGTCTTCTTTCCATTCAATAAATGTGACTTGAATCACAGTACAGACCACTCTGGGAAATTTTGCACTAATACATTGATTTATTGAATAAATACTGAGTTCCCACCAACAGCCAGCCAAGCACTTTTTTGGGTGCTGGATGGGTAAGACTCGGGCTGTCAATAAGAACTTGGTCAGCAACTGGAGAACACACACTGTTAGAGTCAGAAAATCCTCTGCCTGGGGCAACAGCAGCCCCTGTTACTAAAGCCAAGGGGAGGCCTGGGCTCGGAGCCAATGAGCTCCCACAGTGGATCTGCAGGAGGGACTTCTCACAGAGGCTGAGCTGACCTTAGCCCAGGTGTTTCGTGGCCTTAGGAACATTTCCAGGACCTTCCCTTTGGCCATCTTGCCATCGTTTGTAAACATTTAACCAGAAACCTATAATCTGGGAAGAGCAAGCAGGTGCCACGTTATTCAAGCTAACCCACTCAAGCTTATTCCTTCTTCAACTGCTCTAGGTTTGTTGACCCTTTGATGACAGAAATATAGGGGCAGGTTGTCTCTACAGCTCTGGTTTATTTGCCAGAGTGTTACTTTTATCAACTCTGATTACCGTGGTGGGGGAGGGGCGCTTGTGTGGTGTAATTGTTACTACAGAATTCTAATGGGAAAGCATGTGACAGAAGATAGAAAGTTATATCTTCGAGTTATAAGGTGCCAGTACACTCCTTTATTTATTCACTTATTTTTATTCGCATTTATGGGATGCTTACTGTATGTGTCCGCATGGCTTGCCTGGTGCTAGGGAGAGGGAGAAAAAGGTGCCTAAAGGTAGGCGGGTCTGCAAGGAACTGAAGCGATCTAGGAAAGCCAGAGACAAATCCGCTGAAGCTGAGAGAGAAGCTGGTGGGGAAGCACAGAGAGGAACTAGTTCTGTCTGCAAAGAGGGGTCGGCAGAGGCTTCCCAGAGATAGTGAGCCTTCGGTGAGTTAGAATTCCCAGTCACATCCAGTTAAGAATAAAGCCAGAGAAGCAAGGGGAAGATACAGCCAGCTATTAGAATCTTGGAGGAAGGAGGAAAGGGGTCCCTTTCAAATAATTTTAAATCATTTTAGCATTTCTATAGTTTCCTTTTTCAGGTTTACTAGCTTTCACCCCTACAGTCTCCCCATGGCTGATTCGAGTCGGCTTCCCCGCCCTACAGAGGTAATAGAGTTTTTCCAGTAATGCCTTACAACTGCTTTCAGGGAGAGTGATGAGTTCTTCTGCCAGAACACAAGCACAGTAGCAGACAGCACCGCCAGACAAAGCAGTATCTATCTACCAAAGGACCTGATAACCATGTCCCCCTCCTGTTCCTCCCTCCCCTCCCCCACCCAGGTCTTGGCGGGAGACGGGTCTGGCACCTGACCACGGGGTGTCCATGACCCCGGCGGTTGCGCCCCATCCGCAATGAAAGGGTTATCCGGCAGCCGCAGCCATCACCACGGGGTCACCTGCGATTCCGCCTGCGACTCGCACCACCACCACCACCACCACCAGGACCACCACCGCAAGCCCTACCAGCTGAGCCCCGTGGAGCAGCACCCGGAGCACCACCCGGCGGACCACCCGTACTACACGCAGCGCAACTCCTTCCAGGCCGAGTGCGCGGGCCCCTTCAGCGACCCGCTGGCAAGCAGCACCTTCCCTCGCCGGCACTACACCTCGCAGCAGGAGCTCAAGGACGAGTGTGCCGCCCTCGTGCCCCGCACCCTGGCCACCAAGGCCAACCGCCTGCCCCCCAACCTCCTGGACCAGTTCGAGAGGCAGCTGCCGCTAGGCCGGGATGGGTACCACACGCTGCAGTACAAGCGCACGGCCCTGGAGCACCGCAGCAGCGACAGCCCGGGCCGCATCCGCCACCTGGTGCACTCGGTCCAGAAGCTCTTCACCAAGTCGCACTCCTTGGAGGGCCCAGCCAAAGGGCCCGGCAGCGTCAACGGGGGCAAAGCCAGCCCCGACGACGCGCAGACCCAGACCGTGCGGTATGGCAAGCGCAGCAAGAGCAAGGAGAGGCGCCCCGAGCCCAAGGCCCGGCCCAACACCTCTCCCAGCACGTCGTCACCGGGTTGGTGGAGCTCTGATGACAACCTGGACAGCGACATGTGCATCTACCACTCCCCGTCGGGCGTGATGACCATGGGCAGGTGCCCCGACCGCTCGGCCTCGCAGTACTTCGTGGAGACCTACAACACCATCAGCGAGCAGGCGGTCAAGGCCTCCCGCAGCAGCAACGACGTCAAGTGCTCCACCTGCGCCCACCTGCCCGTCAGCCTGGACGCGCCGCTCCTCAAGAAGAGCGCCTGGTCATCCACGCTCACCGTGAGCCGCGCCCGCGAGGTCTACCAGAAGGCCTCGGTGAACGTGGACCAGGCCATGGTGAAGGCGGAGTCGTGCCAGCAAGAGCGTTCCTGCCAGTACCTCCAGGTACCATTGCGGTCGGGTGGTGGGTGTGCAGAAATTGTACCTGCTAATTGGATGGTGACTTCTCCTGGGTCTTAGGACTGGCTCTCTTGGGAATTTTCTGCATGAAAAAAAAAAAAAATTGTTTTAACATTTCTGTGTCTAAGGGCTAGTGCTCTTATCAGGAAACAAACCTGCTACCATCTTCATCTGGTTAATCTTGAGTTACCAGAAAGCAAAGTGCTTTGAAAAGCACACCCGCCTAAAGGCAAGGAGTTATTCGTGTTCTGTGTTCTCTTGTCTGAAGGATCGTGGGATAGAGAGGAGAGGAAAGGGGAGCCTACACGGAATTTTAAAATAGATCCACCTTTTTACAAAAGTCAACAATGGCCTTTGGAATTTTGGAGTTTAATTGTGTCTATCTAGAGTTGTTCATTTATTTTTGTTTGTTTTATTTTTAGTTGTGAAATTCTGTTTGGAGTTATTAGTTTGGGGAAATTGATCTATCTTCACCATTGTAATTGTCACACCAATACCAGCACTAACTACACTCCTACCTACCTAAGCCCCCACTGCCCGGGGCACAGGGAATGAGGGAATGCCCTGAGCACTGGGAAGGTGGAGCTGGAGCCAGTTTGGGAGCCTGACAAGCACAGCTGCAGAGACCTAGGACTGCAGAGAGGAGGAGGAGGAAAGCGGGGAGCATCCACACAATGAAATGCAATTAGTGTCAGCGTGTAAATCCCACACACGTACAAACCCACCCCCGGCTGCTGCTCCTCTGCCACAACCTCCTCATGCTTTCCTACTGCCCTCCAGTCACTTAAACTAGATTTCACCTGGAGAGAAAGAAGAAGGGAAGAGTATTTCTCCTCCCTACCACCTTCCTCTAGTATTGTCATTTTTCCTACGACACAACCCTTCATAAGAATGACCCTCATAGTCTTCCTTGTTACAGTGTCTTTTGGCCACTTTCTCCTACTATCCCCATCTTTTTAAAACGTTTTTTACTGTATTATAATAATTTCCCACTCTAATCTTAAGAATTAATGCTAGAAAAAACAGTCTTCCACTGAGAAATTTATCATCTTGCTCTATTCCTGACAAAACTGGTTCCATTGGGCATGCGTCTACAAACCCTGAGAATATTCTAGGCTGGCAGTCAGTGAACAAGGTCAGTGCCAGAGCCCTTACCCAGACTTCAGAAGAAGCCACCAACATGTGGATAGTTTTCACAAACACTACACAATTACATGGTGTGTTGCCTAAATTAGAGCTAAGGAATCATTTAATCCAACCTCTTCATTTAGCATATAAAAAAAACTATACTCAAAGTAAGGTAAAGACTCAGTGGTGTACTGTTAGTGTGTGGCTCTGGTAGGACTAGAATCCATGCCTCTTTATTTATGGAAATGACCATTATAGGAATTATATCAGAAAACTTTAGAACTGCCTTAAGCACATAAATTTCATTCATCACTGAGAATAAAATACTTTGATAAGACTGTCTTGAAGAAAGAATGGATAATGAGATAGAAGCCTGAGAATATATTTTGTCTATAAAGTTTCTGTGACTAGCAGCAAAAATAGAGTAATTAAAAAAAAAAAAACTGGACTTCAATAAATAGTGATGAGATTAGATAAGAAATATCAGATTAAAGAAGGATACTTACATGCATCTGGAGCTAGGCTTTGTTAGTAACAAAATGCTTCCATTGTGTTGCATAATTGCCTATGTTCTTCCTACCTAAAATTCTTTTCTCTTTTCTTTTTATGCCATTGTGAAGTAAAAAGCTCAAGAAGTGGTGAAAGTGGAGAGAGAGAGAGAGAGAGAGAGAGAGAGAGAGAGAGAGAGACTAATATTAATTGAAAACTTACCAAATGCTGTGGCAAACCTTTTCATATTAATTCTCATAATAATTTTGAGAGCTAGATATAATAATACTCTGTTTTTACAAGAAAGGAAACGAAAGCTTGGAAATATTAAGTGAGCTAAAGATATGTGGCCAGCAAATTATAGAACTGAGATTTAGACTTAGATGTATGTGATGCAGAGTAGTTCTTTCCTATATACCCAGCACAACCCTGGAACCAAGGGCATGAAAATGGTGAGCAAGGAGAACAAAAATCTTTGAAGTAAACCTATTATGTATGTTCTTTAGTAAAATGAGAATGAAAGCTTGAAGGTTCAAGTATAGGATTTAGCACAGGCATATTAGTGGGTCTCCTATCATAAAGATTTGGAAATTCTACTTTCAAATTATTTACCTTATTTTAAGCAAATTTTTAAATGAAATACTTGAGGCTTACAAAAAGGTATTTAAAAAAAAAAGTAAAATACATTCCCCTTATACATCATTCAGCAATAGAAATAAAACCTTAATTGCAATGGATCTCATACATTCTTTCCTCAATCCCACTTCCCTCCTTTCCTCCTCAGAGTAATCACTAATCTGATTTTGATACACAAAGCACCTTTATTTCTAATTCTGAAATTATCAAAATATTGAAAACATTTAATACTTTCTGTCCTATACTAGGTAATAATTAACCCTAGCCCAAGCTAGTTCAAGTCTTTAAATATAACTGAGAGTAGAGTTATACTTTCTTTAACAAATGTTGATATTTATTGAGCTCCTATTCTGCACAAGGCTTTCAAACTGAAATATGGTGTAGTAGTAGTTTAGTGAGTAAACTAAACGTAGAACAGTGTGTTCTTCTCAGCCATTGTGCTGATGTCGGAGAGTTCCTCTAAAAAGAAGTGAGGGTGCTGGACACTGGCAAGGGGAGGCAGGAGAATGGGCAGCGCCTGAGAACTGGACGTTCTCTCCAGCTCCTGTCTTGCGTTAGAGGAAAAGGAGAATCTGCTGTCCTGTGCAAGCTCCTCTCAGAAAGATGGATGTAGCCAGCTCCTGCCAGCTCCTATGGGATAATTCCATTTGTAGGCTCATCCTTAGTAGCAAATATGCGAAATTCAAGAGAGATGGGATTTGTGTGTGTGTGTTTCTAGTTGTATTGTTTTAAATACCACCTAATACTGAAATTGGATTTCCAATGTGTTCAATTTCAACATCACAGGGTTTAGTGGACAAGGTGTTGAGCTTTAAATGAGGGTCTGTGTTCTAATCCCTCCTTACCACGAAACGGTGATGTGGATGTTGCCTGGAGCCATTGTTTCAGCTCTTCAGGGTCTCCTTCCTCTGCTATAAAGGGAGACACTTGATCTAAAGGCCTGTGATTTCAGTCTACATCTTTAAACTCCTAAGTTAGATATGCAGAGTACTAATTAAAGCAATTTTCGAGAGCCTGGAGCTCTCACTTAATAAATACCTTCTAAAAGCGAATGTTCTCCCAATGTTATTTAATTTGCTCTTTAAAACCGAAAGGTATTTTACAGTCGAAGAAATTGAGATTTAGTAAATTAGGTTAAGTACCTTGCCCAAGGACACAGCTAGTCCATAGCATCATGGTGGGTCAAAACAGATGTCTGCCTGCAAAACCTGAATTCTTCCCTTTCACTATGCCCAATCCCAACCTTCTTCCAAATATAAAACAAAGTAGCATATATCAAATACTTTTATGTGCTAGAAATCATACAGTATCTCATTTAGTACCTAAAACAACTTTGTAAAGTATCACTGTTTACTCCAGCTTACAGACAACATAACTGAGATACAAAAGATCTGAAATCATTTGCCCAGGAATGCATAGATTGTAAGTGGAAGAGCTAAGTCTTGATCCCAGATTGGACTGAGTCTCTAATGAGCTTCAGAAATAGAAATAAATGTGTTGGGTGTTTTGACCTGATGTATGTGCCTGCATGTTTATGAAATGTGAGCCATCTTAGACAAGCAACAGAATGACTGAAAGGTTCCGAATTTGATTAAAAAATGAGCAAAGATTAAATTAATAGTTACCAATAATAGCATCTAAATACAGTTCTGATTCTCCCTTTGTCCAATTATCACTTAGAATTAATTTAACATAGACCATTGCTGTGATTATATAGAAAATGAGAGGTCTGTAGGTATTTGGCCTCTGTCTGACATTAATTTCAAAATGAAATATTGTAGCTTGAAATCATTGCCAGTTCCAGTTAATACAATCAATTGGTGATAATGTGCTCACTCACAAGCTGTTTGTAGTTTTTTTTAAAAGGACTCTTCGCCCCCCCCCCCAATATTGTTATTTTTAAATGTCAAGAATCAGATGTCTGCTGTGTAGAATTATTGTACCACTGCCAGTGACTGTCTGTATCAGGCTTTGGATCAGGGACATGGATTTGAAGACATTAAAACTGTTTAATTCTCAGTTGAGATGTGGTTGGCTTTTGTACATTTGGAATAGAGCATTTATGGCACATCTCAGGGTAAGTGCTAATAGTTAAGTAAATAAAATAGGAATGGGATGAAAGGAGTAAAAGGAGCTTTTGTTGTGGTTTTGTTTTTGCTTTTAAAAAGCAAGGTTCTTGGTTCTGTATATGCGTCTTTATGTAAACGTTATATGTTGAATGATGGGTATTTAAAGCCATTCAGAAGAGCAAGATTTTAGATTTCCAACTGTTAGCCTAAAAAACAAAACCCCTTCAAGTCATGGATTTTGCGTTCATTCAGCAGCAGAAACAGGAAAAGAGAAAGAAAGCTCTCTCCGGTAGAAGTAGAGAGAGGCACAGAGGGAGAGAGAGAGAGCAAGACAGACCCGGGAAAGAAGGCACTCACAGAGATGAAATTTTAGGAGAGCAACATGATCGACCTCTTTAAGGCTGAGTGGGTTTCTTCAGTTTGTGTGCAAGTTTCAAGAAATGGAAGGACTAACCAGGTTTGGGTACAACTCTTTCATTACTTTGTGTTTGGTGACAGTATGTTGCTGGTTTGTGTGGTCTGAGGTGGAGGAGAGAAGGGGCGATTGTGCTGTTATTTTATTTCTTCTCTAAAGACTGAAAGAGCTAACAAACTAATGTTTGTGCAGATGGTAAGGAAACAGGTTGATACTTCGGACACCCACAAATCTGTGTCCCCAACAGG